CAAGAAAGCAAGCAGTTAAGGCACACAGCTCACTCACCAGTTCCTCTTCCTTGCTGTAACTACTTCCTTTCCGTCACTTACAGTTCTCATATCACTTTACTCATTCTCGGCACCCGAGGCACAGTCTGGCATCTGGCCGCACATTTGTTACATCAGCACACACATCCTCATTTCATTTCCCTAATTTCTGTATTAAAATTTAATATCAAATTCAGAAAAATAACTAAATCCACAGACCACCTGCTCTCATATGTTACTAAACAGTTTGAAGAAAGAAAGCAATCGTGTCTCTCAGTCAGCACCTGCGTGTTGGCAGAGTGCCTTGCTGCCGTGTAACAGCACCGAATCACAAAACACAGTATGACTGTAACATTTGGAAACCATCTCAAGCACACAGTGATCATCAGACCACGTCATGAGATCACCAGTCGACTGGATCTGAGCTCTAGACCGATGCTGCTTACTCAGTAGGGGGTACAGATGCATGGGTTGTGGTCGGGGAGGAATTAAAGGAACCGAGGTTTAGAAGGGGGAACTGATGATTGCCATGTACAAACACTGAGTGACTCATACACTAAATCTTGTGCTTTCTACAGTGTAAACCACCGGACTGTGCAGTCTAGAAAGCCTGGGTTGAGGTTAACAGTAATTTGTGAATGATTGTCATCTTTCATTCATACGGGTATGAGTAATGCGTGACATTCCTTGTAAGGAGCACTGAAGAACCTAGAGGTGACTGGCACAGTCCCAGGCCAGGTAGATTTTTTTCATTCTTCTGAAAGAATCAACTCCTTTTAATTTAAAGCATCAGCTGCACTGTTTTGGTGTGCTTCTGAAGGACCATCTCAATAACTCCAAGCTGAGCACTGCAAAACCAAGGGATTCAGTGGAGGAAAGGGTAAGATCGAGGGTGCCTGTCCAACTCCGCCTTGCTTGCGTCCCTCCTGAATGTGCACTGCGGAACAGCCGTGCAGCCACAATGTCTGCTGTCGTCCCAGCGAAGCCCAGCAGGATGGGTAATAGGGGCCAACTTTTGGTACTTGTTCAGTAATAGCCCCGGGCCTTCACTGCTGCACACCTTCTGGGCCTGTTGTGAAGACAGTTAATAGTTTCATCATGGGTTTTCCAAGGATGACCATCACCGTATTGTCCATGTATATATGTGCCAGGTCACAGGAGGGTGAAGACCTTCAGGGCAGTGGGTGCACACATATGTCTGTGGAAGTGCGTGCACGGGAGAGGAAAGTCACGCCAGCACCCAGGTTTTGCCAGCCCTCACAATCATGCCAGCCAGGGCAAGTGCTCCAGCTACGGCACTGCCTGGACTGACCTCCTCTCCCTGCCATCCTCCTCTTCAGCCACGGCATGTTTCATGCCCTCCACGAGAGGAGAGGTGAGGCTTCTCCAGACACCAGCCTCCCCGGCTGCTCTAAACACTTCTGACTTGTGTGTTGAACCAGCAAAGAATTTTAACGTTGGGAAAATCACCGGCTGGCTCCATGACTAAGACTGCGACTAGCCCGTTTCCGCAAGGTGGTCTGTGGCTGGAGTCTGAGCAGCAAACGGCGGCATGCCAGAGCTCCCCGACCACACAGCCCGAAGGAAGGCCGAAAACTCCTCCGTGTCCTGCCCTTGTGTGTTTGTACCCGCTACAAACAGTGCCCGATGCTCACAAAGGACTAGGTGGCCATGAAGCCTCTGCGGGGAGGCGACACATTTCCAAAGGTTGTTAATTCACAAAACCAAACAGAATAAAGATAATCCTGGAAAGGGAAAAAAATAAAAAGCTGCCCCACCCAACCCTGCAGGTCCTTATCTTCCAGACTTTTTACATCGCCCTAGCCTCGGGCTGTTTCAAGACAGCATGACTCATATCCTTGCTAACTGGAATGCTTAAATTGAGCTTGTTCAGCATTTGGTACGATGGAAGGAAGTTAATTTGTAATAATAGGAAATGGAAAACACAGGTCTTGTTTATTTAAACCCATGTACTTCACTAACTGTTTTAAGTGGCCTAAAGCAAATGCATTTGCCGTCACAGTGGCATGCTTACTTTTGCTAACCTGAATAACCCGGATAATAGCAACACGCTTTACCTATGTAATAGACTGTATGTACATAGCTGTATCCATTTAGCAACTTATTTTGTCATCTGAGCCTTTCACGTGCCTTTCCTTGCCTTCTGACCACCAGAGAATCGTGAGCAAGCGCCTTAGGCTCCGCTGCTCTCTGGCTGAACACAACTGCAGTCGTCACAGGCTGTGGTCAGAAGTTATAAAGCTGAACGTTTCACTGGCGGTTGAACTCAGAAGCTGGAACCGGCTTGTAAGTTCTTGGGTGAAATACGATATAAAAGCATCTTTCAAATAATTGTATAAAATGCTTTTTTACAGTGCTATACTTAGCAATGGACCTAGCTAGCAAAACAATTTAAGGTCTCCCCTTAAATAACGGAAGGACACAGAATCATATTATCTATTTGGGAAATATAGCATAAATATGACAAACTAATATTTTCTCAAAAAACTTAGTTTCAGCCATTGAGTCAGCAGAGCAACACAGTTCAAAGTAACATCTAGAGAAAAATACAGCATGTCAAAATTGGAGATGTATTGCATATGAAAATGTTTATCATTATTACGCTTTTGATTAAAAAAATCAAGAGATGAATGATAGATACAGCAGTTACCTCTCAGAAGGCTGTTCTAGCCATTTTTACTCTTTGCAACATTTGAATGATTTTCTGGGTTATGTTGACTTCTCTGCATTTTAATTTCACTTGCCTACGAATATTTTTTAAAATTCCATGTATCTGCCTTCCTGTCTTTGAATCCAATTTTGCTGCTATTTTTTCTTTAAAAATTTGTTTTCATAAGACACTTTCATTTTTCTTCCTTGATACTTCTGTTTCAGTTTTGCTCATTTGGATTGTGATGCAGTTTCTCTAAGTCGCTATTCTCAGGCATATGAGCATCCATGCTAGCAGGCAAATACACTGATAAAAAGCAGTAATTTTTTACTTTCACCGTATCTAAAAGTAGAAGGAAAATTTGGTTGCAAATAGCCACAGCCCTGATTAAATACAGATCTCTGACTTCAGTTAGTTTGGGATATTTTAAAAGTTCCACATTTAGCCAGGCTGGTAGCTGGACCACACCACAAATGTAGTGTCTGTACACCTGTAAAAATGTTTCCTGAACACTTGCATGCTGGTCAGTCTCTATAGGTTAGAAAAGCCGTATTCCCTGGCTACTCTCAAATAGCCGTGTGTCACAAAGGATGCCCAGCTTCCCTGCCCTACATGACTTTGGCTCTCCCTCCGGTTTTTCTCAAAGAGTATGATCTGATATTATCCCGACACCTAAAACACAATGGCTGCACTTAGATAAAAAATTTCAAAGTGAACAAAGTTATCTGTAAGTAAAGTTCTACTGTCTGATCCATCTGCATCCACAGCCAGCCTGCTAATGAAATAATTTTGTGTACTTTTTGCAGTTTCCAATGAATTCACTGAAATCACCAGATTGGCTGATATTTTCAAAGCTAGGTAAAAAAACCTGTGACTAAATCAACAAATTAATTTTGAAAATGGCAATCCTGTTGTTCAAAACACAGAAATACAGACAAAAATAATATATCCCAGATTATGCAGCATTCTGTGCTCAAAGCAAAACCCTGAAGTCTGTACAGGGTGTGTTTGCCATCGGCACAAAAACCAGACATGGCTTTTCCAGCACTCCCAGGCTTGACATACTCTACTCTGGTGAGACCCCACCTGGAGTCCTGCGTCCAGCTCTGGAGCCCTCAGCATGAGAATGACATGGACCTGTTGGAATGGGTCCAGGGGAGGGCCACAAAAATGATCCAAGGCTGGAGCACCTCTCCTATGAGGAAAGGCAGAGAGAGTTGGCGTTGTTCAGCCTGGAGAAGAGAAGGCTCCAGGGAGACCTTGCAGCAGCCTTCCAGTACCTGAAGGGGGCCTGTAGGAAAGATGGGGAGGGACTTTTTACGCGTAGCATGTAGTGATAGGATGGAGGGAATGGCTTTAAACTGAAACAGGGTAGATTTAGATATAAGGAAGAAAATGTTTACTGTGAGGATGGTGAGGCCCTGGCACAGGTTGCCCAGAGAAGCTGTGGCTGCCCCCTCCGTGGCAGTGTTCAAGGCCAGGTTGGATGGGGCTCTGAGCAACCTGGTCTGGTGGAAGGTGTCCCTGCCCATGGCAGGGGGGTTGCAATGAGATCATCTTCAAGATCCCTTCCAACCCAAACCATTCTATGATTCTGTGACATCCCTAGTGTTTTTTATTAATTATGGGGTTTTTTTTCTCCAACTTTCAAAATATACAGCGAAAACTGGACCCTCAGATAACAACATGCTCTGAAAGAGGCACAAATACAGTGCCACACTGCCCGTGGAGCATCCTAGTAGAAAGCCCATGCCTCAGAGCGGTGGTTTCTCTCCACGCCGCTGCACTGACCGGGTTAAGGGACTCAGCAGTGCCAGGCACGTGCACTGCCCCTGCCCCGGGCTCAGGAGCAGCAGTGGAGACCAGGCTGTCCTCTCCCTCTGCCTCTTCATGCTCTCCTACTGCAGTGCCAGGTCCCGGTAGCAACATGGAGCCTGTTTTCACACCCATGCTGCAGGGAATACTGTCGGTAGTTAGCACAGCGAAATTAAGGGGCAGCTTGTATTGTTTTGTCCCCTTTGCTGCCGGAATTACCAGGGAACATTTTGGTGCCAAAAGACTTCCCCGGGAACTGTTCTGACTAACATAAAATCCCATTTTTAGAATAGATTAGTGATAATAATCAAAGCTAAAGTTCTGTCGGAACCCTTAAGTTCATAGTTTTCAATTACTAAGAGACATTTCAGTACTAATGACACATCTAGTTGAGTTCCAACCTCATGAAGTTGTAACAAGCTACATCTGTCAACCAGAGTTAAAAATACAGGGTGATTTAAGAACATTCAGAACATATAATGGCTTTTCTATATCCGCTTTTAATGAAAAAAATACTGTATGAATAGAAATGGAAGTATAACAAAGAATTTTCAGTTGATCTAGGAAAATACAGGGATAAATAGAGCAAGTAAAACGAACATTTTACTTCCAGGTTATTTGTATGTCACAGAACTCCTGTCCCTACTTACAGCCACTTATGTTTCAAAACAGACTGGAAAATGAGAACAAAATATCCTCACAGTACTTTTACTGACATATTCTCGGTTGAAACTATGATGGTAGTAGTCATATATCAATTTTTCATTTCTTGCATGCCAAAAAGTACAACAAAAAGCCTCTCAAGCTATCTGTACACTTGAGGAAGGGAACTTTGATCTCATCTGTTTCCTTTAAATTTCATAACTTGCAAATTATTCCTGGCAGTACATTAGTTTGGTAAAAAATAATGGTGTTACTTCAATTTTTAATGTGCAACTTCTCAGTTTTTATACAACAATGTAAAGTTGACATGGGATAATAAAGTATAGTTTTTACCCATGTGGAGATCCGTTTTAAGATAACTTCCAAACACTTTAGGCATGAGGAAAATAATTTAAAAAATCTTCACCAAACTAAAATTAACATACATATATTCCTTATATTAACATTGTCCCTGCTGTATGCCTTAGTATGGTCCAAATTCCCAACACAGAGACTATTTATATCATTTTCTAGTGTGTCCATATCTTCTTAAATTGGAAGAAATATGTTTAGAAAAGAAACCTGATCTACTAGAACATATAATGGGGATAGATTAACTTCAATTATGTTACTTGAAATAAAATATCCATTATATAATGGATGAAATATCCATTATATTAAGCTACTGGCTGGCAAGCATTAAATCAAATATAGACTTCTACATACTCTGTATCTGTAGTAAAGTAGTATAACATATTAAACAGACCTTTATTTTAAAATTTCTTTCCAGCACAGGACCAATCCTGTATTAACTGCCTCACATAAGCTAGCTGAGAGTTATGAGGACCCCTGTCTTTTTTGGTACTGTATTCTGAGCTTTTCCAGTTGCTCTACGCACTGCGTCTGGGCCAGCTTCAGTGTTCGGTTCTCCTCTGTCAGTTCTGCGTACTCCTTAGCCAGCTGAGCAGCATCCATGCTTTCTTTTTCCACTTGTTCCAGCCTGGCAATCAGCTCCTTTCTGATGATTATGAAAAAAGACAAAGATTAAAAACAGCAGTATGCAAAAAATTTGTCATCGTCTGTTAGGTCAAAGCTGGACTATAGGTTGTTAACATGATATTACTTGAGCTCTTGTGAAACAAAGACCTAGAAAATTAGTTTGCTAGAGTCCTCCTTTTTCCTCTAAAAGACGAAGCTGACGAAATCTCTGATAGGCTTGCTGTTCAGGGACCAAACCTGCAAAATGCTGAGGACCTTCAGGTATCTAACTTCAGTAAGAGCTGAACATGCAGTTCACGGGGGAGAATCAAGATCCTGGAGATCGCACGCTAATATTTTGCCTGAAGAATAACAATTTATTTTTCTCTCAATACCAAACATATCTGAAAGTCAACGAGGGTTTTTTTGTTTGGTTGGTTAGCTTTATCAGTAAATCCTGTGAAGTACGCCTGGTTCCTTTTCTCTGCTACAAAGAAAAATGATTCTAGTAAATACTAGGCACATGAACCTGAATTACGTATATTGTTTCTATAATGTGTTTATGCTCAGACCTTAGCCCTGCTACTGAGGAAGAGAGAGAGAGCTGCAAACCTGACCCCTCCTGGTCTTTTTAAGAGCAGACACAGGAGGATTCAAGCTGCTGCTTCTTTCTGGATGGAGTCACATAGTCCCCTGTATTCCCAGGGCTGTCCAGGAGCTGGAGTCTCCTGTATAATATCAACTGAAATTACCTCAGCAGAAGTTAAGATAAAAGAGGTCTTAAAACAAAACACACTGAAGGCATGAGTAACTCACAGGGTATCTAATCGCTCTCCACTTAGTTACCCAGCAGGCTAGCCTGGCCTCTGCTTTTTTTTCGCCTTTATGTCAAATCATTTATTCACCCCTGTTACAGGAAGTCTCTTCTAGAAGGTTCTTAGCTCTTTTGATCATCCTATCTCACAGATTAGTTAATCTTTAACTGTTCATAGCCCTGTGACTTTATTTCTCAGTCATGTCAAAACAATGCTTGTAGATCATCAGTGGGAAGATGTAATGCCTTCAAAGTGGTAGCTTTTGCTGCAGTCTTTACAGGAGCCCTCTTGTCAAGCTAGACCAGCGTTTTGAGACAGGAAATTCCAACAGATTCGTGATTCTGTCACCATAGGTCAGAGAATTCATGAAATGTCAACATTTCAGTATGTGCTGATCACTTGCATTAACTACAGCTGCAAAACTACCACTTACAGCAGCAAAACTGTAAGCACCTGGATTTTGAAAAACACTTCTATCTGGCTGCCTTTTAGGGTCAGTTTGATCCTCCTCTGTCTTTACTACAGCATTCAGTGATAGCACAGTTTGCCCATGGTTTAGCTGGCTGTTTACAGTCAGTTACTCCAGTCCAAGGAGTCACAAGTTAGAAAAGACCCCTGGCACACACATTTCTCCCAACTGTGTTTCCCACACACAAAAAAAAGAAGGGAAGAGTTAGCAGCAATTTTAAATCATCCAAAAGCTGCAGTATATAGAAACCCTCCTGTAGCTAAAGCTGTTGGCTTTGTTTTATACCACTGAAGTAATGCATAGCAGCTATGCCTCAACAAAGTCTCTTCTCTTTCCTTTCACCAGGTGAAAGCTATATTCGATCAGGCCTGCAAGAGAAAATATCAAGTGCATATTTTTGTTCAGCAGAATTCTATATTCATAACTCTCTTCATAACATTTGGGACAATATAGTTGTAAAAATTTTAAAAGCAGCAACCTGTTAACAGATTCGTTTCTCTTTGCTTGGGCCATGCTAGATCAACCAATTTTCAAACTGGCCAAGATGAACTGATATTGCTAGACAGTTCAGTATTCCGGCTCCTGTGAATGGGACTATAGGCTCCAAAGGAGTAACTGCGTGTATACTTTACAGAGTGAGAAATGCATTTAGGGACAATGAGATTTTAACAAGTCTAGCAGCTTTAGTCACTTCAGTCTCTTAAGGGTTCCTCTTGAAGATTTTTGTCTCTTAGAACCAAAAGAGAGCTTCGGCAATATTTCTTTGCAGTTATTCTACTGCTGCAATGCTGGGCTGAGGGATTAAATTAAGCTCTTTGAAATTCCAGACTGTAGAATCAGAAGTTTTCCACACAAATTAATTCAGGACCATTTTTCCTTACTTTTTTACTCTTATGAGGTTCTTGAAGGGAGATGCAGTGAACACACTAATAAGTAATCAGCGTCTTAAAAGTAGGTAAACCTTTTCTACGGGGACTATTAGTACGTGTAAAAGAAAGTTACTAAATACTCTGTTTGGACTTGAGCCAGGAGTGGCACAGACAGACAGCATGAAAACTCAGACAACTCTATTAATGAATGTCAGTCCCGATTTGATAAGATCGAGGCTACGTGCAGGCATGGCTTTCATGCTGCTCTCCAGTAATACTCAAGCAGCACAGATGACTGTTTTTTTCCACCTGGGATTTAACTTTGCTATTAAACAAAATATAAATGCATTAGGATCAAAATATACTCATTGCTGTAGTCCACACTCGAGGACCTCCCTCGCAGAAAGCAGTTTCCTTGCACTGAGGTAGTAAAATTGCCCACTTCTGAGTCAGCAGAACCTACTTATTCCCTTCCCATCAGGATCAACACCTGTTTACAGGGTTGGGTGATGTTTCAGGCCAATACTGCCAGCCTGCCACAGAGATCTAAAATTAGAATACCAGGGAATTGCTAAATGTTATGAATGGTGTAGTTTACGAAGCTCACAAAAGGATGAGGACAGTAACTACATTTGCTTCTGATCTAATCCAGGATTTGAACTTAGCTTCCAGAGGTTAAAGAACACCATACTAAGCTCTTGCACCATCTAGCCTTTGTTATGGATGCTTAATAAATAGATCTAGCACTGTGTAATCTGTGTTCTCTGTTAATGGTTACCCTGAGTTTAAACATTAATAGCATCGATAAGGTATTTTTCTAAAATGGTGCTGAGGTACTTGAAGCTTTGAGACAATCTGTAATGTACACTTTAAGTGTTCTTTTTTAGGGAGATGTTGGGGTGGGAAGAGAAGACTCGCGTGATTTGCATCCATAGCAAATAAACCACAAGCCATACCAGATCAGGGGTAAAACCCTGCATGGTCTTAGAGAAATTATTTCTCTTGTCCTGGCCTTAATGACTGACCATGCAGAGAACAGAGCTCCTTTACAGTAATATTCACAATTAATATATGCTGAGCCAGCAGTGTGCCCAGGTGGCCAAGAAGGCCAATGGCAGACTGGCTTGTATCAGGAATAGTGTGGCCAGCAGGAGCAGGGAGGTGATGGTGCCCCTGTACTCGGCACTGGTGAGGCTGCACCTCAAGTACTGTGTTCAGTTTTGGGCCCCTCACTACAAGAAGGACATTGAGGGGCTGGAGCGTGCCCAGAGAAGGGCAATGAGCCTGGGGAGGGGTCTGGAGAACACGTCTTAGGAGGAGCGGCTGAGGGAGCTGGGGCTGTTTAGTCTGGAGAAGAGGAGGCTGAGGGGGGGCCTTCTTGCTCTCTACAACTACCTGAAAGGAGGCTGTAGTGAGGCAGGTGTTGGTCTCTTCTCCCAGGTAACTAGCGATAGGATGAGAGGCAATGGCCTCAAGTTGTGTCAGGGGAGATTTAGATTGGATATTAGGAAAAATTTCTTTACTGAAAGAGTGGTCAGGCATTGGAATAGGCTGCCCAGGGAAGCGGTTGAGTCCCCATCCCTGGAGGTGTTCAAAAAAGTTGTAGATGTGGCACTTTGGGATATGGTTTAGTAGTCATGGTGGTGTTGGGCAGATGGTTGGACTTGATGATCTTAGAGGTCTTTTCCAGCCTATGATTCTATGATTCTATGTTTCTATACCAAGAAAAGTGACAGATGAAGCAGATAAATCTATCTGGAGATAAATTCCTTTACAGTAATATTCACAATAATTAAATTCCAGGAAAAGTCATGAGCAAAGCAGATAAATCTATCTGGAGATAAGTGTTTTTGGAGATGGAGTGGACTCAAGGAAAACAGCTTCCACAGTGCAAAGAGGCAGACTTGTCTTTCCCTGTTGTGAACAACATATTCAGGATCATGCATCTATGGTACTAACACAATTCTTCCCAGCTAACACGTGCCTGTGAGTTCTGGTGGCCATAAGATCATTTACTCTTCCTGTACTTGACATGGCTTTCATGTCAGGAGAAATCATGAGACCCTGTAGAATAACTGCTGTCTAAGGAGACTGCCCTTGTGTGTTCAAAGTCTACCAAATGAGACCGCCTGTTTTAATGTAAATGAAAATATTTCTGGGACGCCAGCACATAAAATGTCTGTAAGTACTCATCACTGCAACAGGGCAAGTTAAGGTTTCTCCTTGTATTAGAAAAGCTGTAATTTCCAGTATTTGGCAAGTAATACATATTTTGGATACACACAAGACTATGAAAAATCAGGTCTAGAATAGGAAAATTATTCAAATAAAAAGTTGCCTTTATGGTTTATACCAATCTTTTTCTGCAGTACCTGAAAGTCTGAAGACTACTTGTCTCAACAGTGTTGGGGAAGACACCACAGAAATAGTGTACCTGGAGAAACCATCTGGACTTGAGGCCTTAGAAGGAGTCCTATGGTCATGAGAGCACACACAAGCATATACCTGATTAAGCAGACATATCTCCACTGCATGTCTACTGTATTTTGTGTAAAAGAAGGAAAAGAAATCATATCCATGGCAAAGAAAAGGAGTGTTCCTAAACCAGATGGTGGTCAAGTGATATTTTCTGTAGAGATACATTAGAATTGTCTGGAGGAGGAAAAAGAGAAAACCAGCCAGTGCTAAGAATATAAGATACAGCTAGCAACCATGGCAACTCTAATATTTAACTACATAATCCAGGGTCATTATCTAGTAATAGCAATATAACAAGTGCTCAAAATAACCAGCCATCCCATCCCTTTCACCCAAACTTAGATACCCAAAAACATCTGTTATGGAAATACATGTGTGTTTCTGGAACATAAATTAAATTACATTCTGTGACCTAAATGTGGTGTGCTCTCACTTCCACACCCTTTTCTTTCTTTTTGATCATGTCTCCCATTCCAGAGTGATTTTGTCCCTTGTACTACATATTGCCTGCAGAAATGGCAAGGGTTTGAGTGAAGACACTAAACAAAGCTATGATGATCTACATTAGCAAAATAATCTACTCAATGTTTCTTTCAATTTCTTGCTTCCTTTTGTTTGTCTTTTTCCTGAGTAACTTCTTTTCTCCTTCGAATTTGCTTTGTGCTTTGATTTTCCCTTTTTTGAACCTGCAACCTCCCTTTCTCTCTCACATTTCCCATTTTCCTGTGAAATAGTTGTTGTCTTCTCTCCCACTCCCAGCCTACTACATTCTCTTGCCATCTACATTGCATACAGGAGAAAGGGGCAAATAAGCTCCATTCTTGCCCTATGAAAAGCAACCCTTGTCATTTCACACCACTGCCTTTCTATATTTCAGCCATACTTGATCCTCACACTACAGTGAGAGACAAGTCAAGCTAAGCAGAATTAAAAGCCTTTGAAAAGTTGCAAAAGAGTAAATGTTTCTCACTGTTTTAAAACAATGTTATTCAACTTTCTGTTTCTTAAAGATGCCTCCTTTAGAAATATACTTGCATGTATTATTTCATGTATAAAAGGTTACACTGAACTTTGGAGAGTGGAAGAAAAATTGTTTAAAGTAGAATGAATACGATTCCATTTTTTGCTTTACTAAAAACCTCAAATCTGTACAAACATTTATGTCAGGTTTCTTTCCCTGACAATCGTTGTCTTCAGTATTCTGTGTGTACAGTGTACTACCGGGAGGCACCACAGGCGCAGACACTGCCAGGCGGGACTTGACATTTTAATTCCACAGGTGAGTTGAGCTGTTCAGAGCACTGGCAGGGGCACCATCCAACAGCGCTTCTGGTTGCCTTTGGTAAAAGTGTACATGGAATAACACTGCACACATGGTTTGTTCCCATTACAAGGGATGAAACTCTATCTTTGTCCATTTTATCAAAATAACATTTAAAAGAAATAGACAATAGATAGCAGGTGTATTAGGCAATTGTGAATCTTTATTTCCACATATTCAAATTCAAATGTAGAGGAAGATAAAGACACCTGCAACAAGGGAAATTTTCAGAAAACTGTGAGCTCAATCTTTTAAATTTGATTTTAACTGCTTTTGAGGCTAAAAGCTATGCATCTCACCAGACTTTCTAGAAAAGTCAAAGCATCCTTTCCTTCTAAGAATGGAATATTCAACACACATGCCACCCCAGCGTTTGTAATCCACTCTTCTCCTCTTCATTCAGCACATGCTACCCCATAAACTTCCTTTAACTTTCAAACTGTAACTGTTGAGAACGGTTTTAGGTATAAATCAGTGATCACTAGACCAAAACTCTCTTTTACTTCTTACTTACTCCTTCACCTCCTCACTTATAGTCCCTTTCTATCTAGTTTTATATAAAAATCAAAGTTAATGTGTTCAGGTTGTGTATGCTTACATGTGGTTAAAGGTGTATGTGTCCTAATAACTTTTTAATCCACCTTCCAATTTCAGCAAAACTTCATGTGGTGAAGAGGTCCCAGTTAGCTTCTGGAAGGTTTTATAAAAACAGATTGCTACGGAAAGGAAAGACACCCCAAAGGGGAAAGGCAGTATCATGAGACCTCCTCCACAATACTACAAAATGGAGAATCTACCTGGAGGAATTAGTCTGATATAGTTCCCATCTGGAGAAAAAAAGCGCTTCAGTGGACACTTGCAGCTTTTTAAACCTCAAAAATCACATAACCACAGTGCACTGACCTGTAGGAAATTAAGCATCTTCAATCTCAGTGCTTGTAGGACCACTTCTTCAGATAAAGAGATTTGGAAGCTGATGAAAGGTGCTGCACTGATATTTGTCATGTTTAGGCATTTCATAGCTATACAGCATGTGAATATCTAGGCCACAAATATGTAATTAGAAGGCACATAAGAATCACAATAATGTAATTCTATTTGCTGCCTTATTCAGCCCCTCTTTTTTTAGCATATGTTTACTGGGCCAAGATCTTCTATCCAAAGAACAGGTTCAGCAAAGGTAGCAATGGTGGAAGCTTCCTCACATTGTTCCTCTGTTGACATCCATTGGGGGAATGAAGAAAAATGCGAGCCTGAAGGCCCTTAATTCATCCAGGATAACCACTGCTGAGAGGCTAACTTCTGGGCTCAGAGGTTGATTAGGATAATTTTGAGCTCAGGTAAATAATTCTGTGCATGTATCTGCCATTCCCAAGGAGCAAAATATTTCTTAGTACCACAGACTCCATAGATAAACAAAAATGCATTCAAACAGCTTTTTTTTTTTTCATTCTAGTAGATGAAAAATATATATGTGAGTCTAGTTTTCAAGGGCTCCAAGCTTACCTCATAAATGTGCATAACTGAATCAGTGATGTGTCAGTACTAATAATGCATTGATATTAGTAGATTCTAAGGCTACCTTTTGAGTTTATATGTCTAAAGTTAAGCACTGAAACAATTTAATATTTCATATTCCATTTGGATTTTCAGAGAAGACCAACACACAAGGTTTCCACTGAATTCACTTGGTTGCTAAATACCCATTTAAGCAGCTTACATTAGATAATCACATTTGACAAATCATTGCAAAATTATTTGAATTAATGATCTTCTCATCTTTTTAAAAACACCAGCTGCTTTTGACTGGCCAAGTTTAATTAATGATGAACCAAATGCAAACACTGGGACATAACCTCTTCTGGTTATTTTTTCTTCTTTTTTAACTTTTATGCCAGTCTGTCAGCAACTGAGTGCCATGCAGATCCTACAGTGGAAGGGGTTTTGAAGTGGGAAACCTCAACTAGTTCCAACACTTTAGGCAACAATGAACTATATTATGCCTGTAGACATCAACCCCAATAAAGACAAGTCTCACTTTCTTATCCTGCATAGTCTGGATTCAAGGAGATCTTTGGCTATTTTACTTGTAGGGCTACAGCATTTCACCAGTTTCCCTCCCATCAGCTTGCTTCTGCAGCTGAAGGCTCCCACGGATGCAAACTTGGCTGAACTGCGTGGTCAGCTGTGCCGAGATTGCTATGAAACAGATACAGTGGTCCACCTTCTACTCAAAGTCCACTCTGCAACAGAGCTCTTCCAGCCCCTGTTGCTATATTACAAATGTTTCTGTTCAAGCAGCATTTGGAAGAATGATGGTGTGGTCTTCATTTTCACAAGATGTCTGAGATTGACACTGATAAGACCCTCCCTGAGGAAGGCAGCCCTGCTCGAAGTCACCTTCAGTGTGAATGTAAAAATAACAAAGCATTTGAAAGAGAAAGTTTACTTAGCAGTAACTGTTATTCCTTGGGGTTGGTTGTCTGTTAAAAACTGTCACTACTCACCTTCTTTCCTCTCTCTGAATTTCTTTTTCAGGTTTCTTGTGGAAAGGGCTTGAGAGTCACAGAGTGCACTTTGCCATTTAATAGTCATGCAAAGATGACAGCGGTACGAGCATAGGCCACAGACGAGAAAAAAAGTCTCCAGCTTACACACTTTGGATGTGAACACCTAAAATGTCAATGTACATAGAGACAACGCACCTCACAGAAAAATGTTTACTAATATTGTCAGGTACTTGAAACCTAACTGAGTATCCATTATGTTCTTCATTAAAATGTGGAAAGTTAAATTGAAAAAAACCCTCCCTAAAACTAAAGAGGAGACTTGCACCAGCTGAATTAGGTTGTTATGTGACCTGGAGGCTGTCCATGAAGGTTTTAAGGGAGACCTGTATAACTGAGGGCCCAGAACTATGACAACTCTGTGTCCTTAGTGGCCCCTTGTTGATCCTGTGGACCAATGGCCTAACTGTTGTGCTCTATTGTGACTGTCACACAGAGGTATAAGGTCAGAAAATATCATGTGAAAACTTAATGTTTGTAACAGGATTTTAGAAAGAGAATATATAACAGTAAATACTTTGGGAAAGTTACTCACTTTCTTTCTTCCAGCAGAGCAATTTCCTTCTTGACCTCATGGTACTCTTCTGCTATTTTGCAGTGCTGTTTGTATACCTGCATAGATTCCTTAGAGTCATGACAAGGAGGCAGTGGCTTTAAGATAAAAAGAAGAAGAAAAAAATATATACTGCTTTTGAATGAAATATTCAGAAAAAACACGTATTTTGAAAGATACAATATTTATCTTAATTTCTGTGAGAATACTTAAAGAATTCTTTTTCTACCCTAAATGCAGGATACAGCCAAATATTCCTAGTGATGGCCTTTCATGGAAGGGGAAAAAACCACTTCCCTGCATAAGAATATGTATAAACCTTCAAACCTTGTAAAGATTTTCAGAACTTTCCTTGTCAACTTTGTGAAGTATCCCTAAAGATTGTTCAAATAAAGATTTCTCCTTTGCATCCGTCTTTTTCAGCTACAGTGATACAAGAATGCTAAAGTGAACTAGTAGATATGTTATGAGACTTAAATCAGCTATATTTACAAAGTGTTCTAAATTTTGCTGAGAACCGCAGGTGAGATTGAGAGTAGAAGGATAACAGCAATTAAAAAAATAATCAGATAAAAAAGACACAGTGAAGGCAAAAGCACTGTACATCCTAACCTAAATACCGACATTACTGCAGCAAGATTTTGATTTTTTTTCAATGCATGCTGGAGGTAATAAATATGGCAGATAAAAGTACTCTGTCCTGGGACTCCTCATATGAATTTCAACCAAGATCTTGAAAATACAGTTTGTCAAATATCCATGTTTTTTGTTCTTTAAAAAGACTGCAACTTAATTCAGGCTTCAGGCTTGACTGTCATATTTTAGCTATAACACTTTCAGGAAGTGTAGTATTTTTAAATTATTAGCCGTGAATCAATTGACTGTAAATGAACTCCAAATAGCATGCTTGAGCCACCTGTTTAAACCAAAAGGAAGCACTTAAAATAGTGCCTTTACTGTCCAGTTAAAGCACCTCCAATTGCCTTTGACAATATAAGTAGATTATTTTTTATTTCTTGTCCTACTTTGACTCTTCTCTGTAGTATAATATTCTTTCAATGACATTGTTAGGAATGGAAAAGCACAAGTTTTCACACCTTTCCTATTTACGATCTTGTAAACATTTGTTTTAGCAGAATTTTAAATTTTACTAAGCATATTCAGAGACAAAGATTAAAAATATTTTTATCCACGAGGCAAGGTAAATTGGCTTCAGATGTACCCCAATGCACACATACAACTAATGTATGGACCTTGCAAATACTTGTTGATGGTATGTGGTTCCTCACTGAAATTTTAACACAGACACTAATTTTCCATGTTCTAAATGTAAAAATGCTGTGACAGAATGGTTTCACAGCACATTGTTGCATTCTTTCTGAGCTTGGAGAATTTGGGAACCCAGAGAAAAGGCAGTCCATTACTTGATGAATCTGGTCCCTAGGAAAGGGCTTTTGATTGCATTTCAATGTCGATGAGCAATAGCACCATTCATATAGCCCCCCAAATAATAAGCATAAATTTAACAAGACAGAATATAGAAGTCTCAGTGCTCTAATCCAAGAATGCAAGGGTGAGCCAAAGTAGCATCTCTGGTATCTACCAGAGATCAGCAAACAACAAATGCGTCACAATTCAACAATTCTGAATAGTACCCAGGGGAAAGCCCCCAACCAATGATACTTCATAAGAAAAAATATTTGCTTTTGCTTCCAACTTAGTTTCCACAAATCTAGCTGGTTTAAACCAGTTTAAAAATTAAAGCAGCATTCAATTTCTATATTCCAGCTTCCCACTCAAAAGATATATATAGAGAGCTAAAAATTATCTAGTCATGGTGAGACTTAGTATCTAATTCCCACTTAGAACCAGTTGCTGACTTTCAAACCCCTTCCTATCATTGTTTCCTCTACAGTGTCATTTTTTTCTTACATTGATATTTTATCACTCAAAATAAACTAACAACAAAAGATACAATCAGTTTATTAATATTCTGATCATACAATTCTTTTCAATCTTGTGTGATGCTATTAAGCACTATATCAAGAACTTTTTAAAATTTTGAGTGTATTTTTACTTTAAAATGTAAATTTTATTGTGTTTTTATATGGCTAGATTACTGAACAATTTGGTTTGTTCTTTTGTAATTTTGAAATTTCTAAGCAGGGTTTTGGAGACAGTCCCTACAATGTCCATGAGTAATTTCTGGATAGTAGGACATGAAACAGGCTTATGCATTCATTACTTGACAAACACCTCTAGTACAATCACAAGAAAAAAAGGAGAGATGATACAAATCTGGTCAGTTCTTTGCTGCCCACCAGAAAATGCAAACCGATACAAAAACGCAGAGAAATGATTTTACCCGTGTCTAACAGCCTACTTTTTTTGACATAAACAAGAGTGCAAAGAATTAATGATACATCTGTTCCCACAAAGAGAAGTGTTTTCAGAAGATGGCAGGGCAAACTGCTGAAAAACAAATGCAGAAACAGAGGCAAAACTTGCCTGTTCCAAAGGGGTATCTCCAACCAGCCAGCAGACATTTATAGTATTAACATATTTCCACAGAAAAGAAAAAAGTAACAGAATAGTAACAGTCACTGGACTAGCCCATACTCATCTAAATGGGAATGGAAGGAACCTGCAAAATCAGTGAGTCCAGTTCCCTGTTATCAGAAGCAAATTCTGCAGTTCCAAGGCTTGCCCAGTTCTGTCAGAAAAACTGAAGTCCCCTACCTCAGTTGTAAGACTGGCCCAGAGCCTCAACAAGGATTAGAAACACTTTTGCCATTTCCAGTTTTGTTTTGTTGAGGACAGGTTTGTATAGTCTTTTATTGTGCCAGCACTATCTTTCATCCAAATGGTGCTTCTTTGTCCTACCTCTTTTATCCCTGAGATGGGCTTACAGAGGGCTCTCATACACTTGCCAAGACCTATGTCTCAGTAAAGCTGCATTCCTCTAAGCCATCTTAGATGAAATTTCCATTTTCCCTAGCTTATCCAAGCAGTCTTTCTCTGCTCTCCATTCCACTGGAATGACTTTTTCAAATGCCTGTGGCCAGGCTATGGGAAGTGTGGCAGATGCCACCGGGATGTCATTCCTGTGGCAGAGAAAAAGAACTGGAATTCCCAGTAGAGAGCACTTTGCATCCATGAAGTCTGTATACTGTTTTTTTTTGTAAGAGTTTGGTAGTTTACCCAGGCGACCGATTACAACAGACCTTAATAAAGTTCAATTTGCAATATATATTTTTTTTACTCAGAAGCCAAAAGTTGTATTTCTTCTTAGGACAACCCAAGCTTGTTACTTCATGAGGTATCTTGCCCATCCATAAATTAATATATATAAAAGCATACCTGCTACATAAGCAAAAAACACTGCTGCCAAAGAAAGTTATATTTAATGGCAACAGTTGCTACTTTTAATCCTGCTTATTTCAGGCTTCAGTGTCATCCACCCTCATTTTCCTGTGCTGGCAAAATATGCGCACACAGCATCTCTGATTTTGTTCACAAAGCTAGTACAAAAGCTGCAGCTTTCAGTCATACTAGTGGTCTACCCTACTATGCCAAATTTTCAACAAGGTCTGATTTTTCCTTGTATTTTTTTGAATAACTCACTGTGACACTGACAAACTTTCTACAAAATCCAGCAAGGAGACACTAAGAGATCCTGTTATAGGCTATTCTGTAATTGCACATATGTATGTACATCTTTACAAGACGTATGCACTGTTTTTTCTAGATTTTTGTTTGGAATCCAGATATGAAAGATGTTGGAAGATAATATGAAAGGCAGTTCATGAAGTAATAGAAAGAGCCTGAGCGGTTCTGCCTTTTTTTAACACAGGTTGAAGGAGGTGTTCTAATTAAAATCTTTGCTGGGGGACACAAAACGACAGTTTTCACTATTTGTTTTGCTTCATTCACATGACAAAGTGTGTTTTGTCTTGCCATATGAATATCAGCATTCCATATCCACAAATGTTGTATAGTTCGTAGTGTCACCCAAGTGTTCAAAAAGTTTAAAACAGTTTGGTTTTTAATTCACCTTCATTTGTTTGCATTTACTTGTAGTTCTACTGTGAAAAAAAGTGCAAAACTCTCTGCTGAAAATGTTGAATTTTAAAGAAAAAGTTGTATCACACAGTTTTGCCAGCTGAGCATGTGGACTCATCTAGCGGGCAGTCTTCAGCTCTGGTCTAATTAAAGAGCAGTGTCTCCCTTTTTGTAGATTCAGTAATTTTCAGCTAAACCAGAAAGTTCAATGCCAATGTTTTGCATGGGGCCTGTGTTCATCATTTGGCCTTGGGTACTCTTCCATGATGGAAGAAACCACATTATTCCAAATGAAAGTGATAGCTGCACAGTGCAGCTACTTTTTGTTGTGCAATTGGAACTCTTCAACCAGTTTCAGATATCTAGCCTAGGATATATTCAGTCTAGTCTAGTCTAGTTTTACTATCAAAGTAAGCAGTTCTCTTTCCTCCAAACAATTCAGGTCAACCAGATGAGAGCAACTGAGAGCTTTGCTCTCCTTTCCTGAGAGTTTTTCCATTCTTTTCTAACCTTAGTATAATATCCGACTTTGTAAACATCTATGTCTTACATAATCTAAGATCATAGTTATCACGGCAGCATTACAGGAGACTTATCAAGTTCATGGGCAATCAAATCTAATTATAGAGTACCACAGTACTCCAGGAATTCTCTTGGAATTTAATACATTTTAAAAAAATATAGCATACCCTTTAAAACTACAATATACTTTTAAACTCTCTAAAGTAATTTGTATGTGTCTAACAAGAGTCTTGGCAATCAGTAGAAGCAATAGTTCCATTACTAAAGTTCCTGAGTAAACAAGGTTTCTGCTAAGTGTTTGTATCACACACAACAGACTGTCCCTTTCATAGTATTTTCATTACTTCTTTTGTACAGACATTTCCCACTAGAGCATGAAAAAAATAATGCTTGACTTAAGAAACTAATATTATAAATGGTTGGAACCTTTTATCTGTTGCAGCAATTTTACGGTTGTCTAACTCCATTGATCTCAACAGATTCGTAATACAAAATATGACGTAAATGCCTCTCTCAAGCTCACAGTTTCGTGAGAAGAGATGATAAAGAATTACAGAATACCCTGTGCATCTGTATGCGACTTGTGTTCTTCCCTCTTTAAGATCAAACTCCCAGCTGGAATAAAGACTCCGACAGAGAAGAGGGAGATGAACTGAGCAAGCCACAGGAAGTGCTGGAACAGGACAGACAGCACACAGGGCACAGTAACGCAGGTAGTTAACACTAGATACCTTCCTCTGTGTTCAGTGCCCTAAACACGGCCTTAGATGCTGATGTAGGTGTCTAAATATAGCAGACAACCCGTAGTAGAGCGTCTGTCAGAGGGGCCACCACCCACTGTGCAGCTCATCAAGGAAGAACCTTCCAAGGCCCAGACCAACATTTATATGAGGCAAAGGTTAACGTTTCCCAACAGCAAGCTGACAAATGTAGCGAGCCTACCCTCACTGCGCTCCCCACCACATCACTCACACGAGGGCGGGGGGGAAGTGACACTGAAGCTCAGCTACGCAAGTGCTTGAGCCTCCTTCAAAGTGTTGCTCGTCAGTGGGAAGAGAATAATTTGCAATACTGCAAACAAAGGGAATTGAAAGCAAGGCATGTATTAATACGAGCTTTGTTTCACTGACAGCATATCAGCTACTTCTTCATAGTTTTTTTTTAATAATAAAGCTGCAAAAGAAACCAGGCTTTTCCTGCATAGAGCTTAAACTGCTCTATTCCGGTACATAGAGCTTCTGTGTCTTGGTTGAACATACTTTTTTTTTTCTTAAAGTAAAAATACCCACCAAAAGCAAAACTTTTGAGTTAAAGAATTGATACTGTTTTCTTACAAATTGCTTCTTGGAATTTATTCCTCTCAGACTAGTAGAAAAACATAATATTCAAAAATCTAATTGGAAAAGACAACACTTTTGGTCTGAACCTCGCTAGTAGATCAGAACACTAGACTGATCATTTTTATTCTTCAGAAAGAAGCTGTAGCTTTCAACTAGGATCGTCCTCTACTAAGAATCCTTATAGAGAATTAGGTATAGGTATTTGCAGTCAGTCTCCTAGAAACAGCTCTTCTCCAGCCAATCCTACCTCTACCTCTGTCAAGCTGGCACTGGTGCTTGGAGAGCAGGGTTTACTGCCCTGTCAGGGGGGACTGCACTGAACTTTGCCCTGCCATCGGACACCGGTGCCCAGGGAGCAGGCATGGCAGGATCGTTGTAAGAAAAGTGGGAACACTAGGTAATTCTGCTCAAACAGCCAAGTTGTCTGCCAGGGCCAAACATAGAAGGACAAGGGCTTGAAGCCTAAAACAGAGGTGCAAATTGCCTGGTACTCAGGCTGTGGTCTGCTGCCTGCATGCATAAAATTCTAAGGCTCCGATTTTCCCAGTGACTTCGTGAACTTACATAGCTTTCAAGCTGCTTTCAAAATCCAACCTGAGATCGGCTAATTTGGCCTCTGTATTTGTTTGTTTTGTTTTTAAAACAGGTTTCAAAATTTTCCTTTGTATGTTTTAAACCTGGAAAGTTTTTTGGTTTTTTTAAATGCTTATTCTAATATAGCCACCTATCTTGCATTTATAGTTTGCCTCTTTAAATACACTACAAATGCTTTTGACTGTATTTATGGCATGGTGATGAAAATCTTGTGGCTCTAGATGTGATATTTTTATTATGAAAATATGTACCAGCATTCTTACAAATTCAAGCATTTCAGGCTGCTATGCCACAGTTGATTACAGGGCGCGCTTACATGACACTTCGTGTGTGCTGCTTTATACTGGCTAACTTTGGGATAGAGAAAAGCATGGATGGAATGGCAAGGGACACCACCATTCAGTACTTCTGCAGGTCATACTGAAGCCCATGCTGTTGCAGTTTTCTTCTGTAATACAGGAGCTCCCTGTTTCAAAGCTGGTGTGGTTACGCTAACACAAATTGCAGGCACATGCTATACAGGGCTGATGCACCCTTAGCAGTTTGGATTACAGCAATTTAAAAAAAGTAATTAATAAGAAAATGTAACTAGGTAAATTATAACTTTGTTACAGTTATTGCTTGTTTGAAAGTTTAAGGCTGTATAAACATAATGTCATTACATTAAATAGTTATAAGTTGAAGCTGTGATCCAGACTGACAAAAGCAAGGAAATTCAAGTTTTCGTTGCTAAAGCTAAATACACTGTTACCTCTGCATCAGCTCAGAACCTTGTGTTGACTTAACTGCCTCTGGCTGAACATAAAGGCATCTAAACATAAATATGCACATTAGCTTGAAAAGTTAAAGGATGAAGCACCACCACTGACTTTATACTTTTGAGTGGTTGAGTCAGCCAGACAGTGCGCCCAAGTTATCCATTCAGCTACCTCAGTATTACCAAAAAAAGTGTCTGAAGGACAATAAAAACAACATTGTCTGAATCAAGGCCTTTGACCCTTTTTTTGAATTTATTATCTCACTGACATCGTGAGAGTAAAGGAAGGTTCCCTTGAAAAAAAATGTCAGGTACTTAACAGACCAAGAGGGTGTACTTAGTGGAATTGCTCTAGTGTGTACTTAAACTTCTACTGAAGGGCTATTATTTCTCCAGCAGACTTGAATGCTTCCAGAGGAGCAATTTCAGTCCATCATGAAATTACACATTTAGAGTACATTATATGTTCCAGAAATGGGTCATAAACGTCCTAATAAAAAAATCATCACTTGGCCTGTGAAGTACCTACATCTAACACCAGTAATTTTGTTTTGATGTATCAACAGCAGTAATGATAATCATACTTTGCTCTTTTAGAGCAGTCTTCACCCACTGATCTCAACGCTCTCTAACAAAGAAGGTAAAAATTATTAACCTCATTTCAGAGATGAGCAGAGGGACGGAGCAACTCCTCCAGGATCACATAACGTGTCACTGACAGAGTGGGAAACAGAACGCAGGTTCTTTACTTTCGATTCAGTGCTTCAGCCACAAAACCATATTGCTTTTCTCAGATTGAATTCTTCTGAAGGCAAAAAGTATCAATTGCCTTTGCTGCACCGGAAGAACAGTGTAACAAAGAGGCCAACATAGTACCCTGTTCCCTTCAGCCCAAATCTTAGGCTGCTATTCACTCCTTTAATCTTTCCTAGTTATGCCTGAGGAACCTGCCCCTATTCTCAGGATTAGAGGGACAGAGCAAGAACAGTCTCCGTCACCCTCCATTCCTTCCTCAGTCGTCTTTTTGACAAGAGCAGCAGGAGAAAAAAGCTAGTCCTTTAAGTCAGCAGCCCTCCAGTGTTGTCTCACTAGTTGATGGGGACAGGAAGGATGACATCATTGGACAACACGGTCTGCTAATGCCTTTCTCAATTTACACTCAGGAAACAACTGCCTTCATATTGAAATATCAGAGGAAGTCTAAATGCTCCTGGGAAACAGATGATCTGAAGTAGTTTACAAAAGCCCACAAACACTCCAGAACCGCCACATAGGGAAGGGAAATAATCCCTGGATACAAAACTGGCTCTGTGCCTGGTGAACCATGGAGTTGCCATCAACTGCTGTCTGACTGTCCAGTATGAGAGTCAATGACTGGCTCCATTGTGCCACACTGACAAATCGGACCGGTCACAAAAGGATTCACCACTTTTATCCAGTTCTGTCTGCAGACACCTCCTAGGGCAGCCGATAGGGTTGCTGGCTATACAGCACAAACTAGAGTAACTTTGAGGAGGCTCTCATCAATCCTGATGGCTAGCTTTACTTACCCAAGATTAAAGATAAAATGGCACTACAAAATACACCTCTGCATTCTCTTGGAATGCTTCAGAGAAAGCTGATCACACCAGTCTTAGCACAGCCCGTAGGCATGAGAATATAATAGCTGGCTCATTCCTTCTCCCATTAAAACCACAAGAACTCTCTTCATTGCAGTGTGGCAGTACGCGCTGTGTTTTGCAAAGGAATTGTAAAAAAAATTTAAAAAGCAGGAGAGATTGTTAAAGTAGCAATTTCCCTGCAATTAGATTAAAAATGTCAAATCAGTTTTTCTGCAGATCTTGAAAAGAAAATGTTTTCCTCTATGGAAATACACAGTCTTATTAAATGTGAATAGGTTAGAGAAGCACCACTGAAAACTTTCACCTTAGTGTAACAACCAGAGGCTTTTTATCATAACAAATATAGTGAATGTGAAGTAGAACTGTAGTAAGAAAAAAAGCTTACCTGCAGCTGCTGATCTAGTTCTGGAAAAGCCAAAGGGAAGTTTTCAGAGGAAGCATCATCTAAAATGTAAACATGATGTTAAAAGTCACTATCTACCAAAAAGGGCATCTCAAATTATTTGCTTAATGTAGTTCTACCTTCCAAATATTCACAATAATATCGGGGTCCTCCAAACACCTCTGCATCTTCTTATCTTTCTACATTTGAGATACCTTGACAGACTCCTTGAAAATACTGGTGCATTGACAATAAGAAAATGTTTACGTGCTGGAAAGACAGAAAGCCTATTTTGTACTGCAGTGATTAAGAAACAGAACAAAGCCAGTTAGAGCAGCAGAACATGTGATAATTTAATAAAAACAATAAATCCAAACAATCTCTCTTCCTGAGCTCTCCATTACACTGCAAAGTAAAGAACCTTCCAAGGACAGCGTCCCCACTACCAAAGAGTTCATTACTTGAAAGAAGGGAAAGATATCTTCCCCATCACAATACAATCACTTACCAGGGTTAAGCCAACAATAATAGAAACCTTTTCTCTCACCACTCACAGGCAACCACAGCAACATACAAACCAACAGGCAACCCTGGAACTAGTAGACCGTTACCTACACAGACGTGATTAGAATGGGGAAGGCACCACAAATTTCTCCATACTGCAAAGAAATGTCTTTACTCTAACCTGCAGATAACAATTCTTACGTGCTACAGTTAGTTCATTCATGACAACAAGCCAAACTATGTTTTTATTTATTTCTTTATTTTTAGTACAGGCTTCCAGCAAAGGTGGGACAGACTGTGCCAGTTACGTCAGTGTTGTGATGTGGACACCTGCCCACTAGTAGCTGGACTGAGATCAGGAACATGAATCATACTTGGTAGCGTCACAGTTAGCCACTGCAATATTTCTTTCTCAGTGACTTTCACACTATCAGTTTTGCGCTGGATTGTGATGACTGTTTATGCGTCTTACTACAGGTTACGGGAGGTGAGGAGAAGGTTACTATTAGCTAGCTTACAGAGTCAGTTATTTGTAATGTGTCAAAATTAAACAAGGATAGCTCTCATAGGAGAAAATTGCTAACATAGGTCAGATCCTGCAAACTACACTACAACAAAACCCCAACAAGATTAAGAGCACCATGTATCACAGCAGGATTCCAAATATCTTAAGGAGTACAGACTAGGATTTAAATTATTTGTCAAATATTTGGTATCTTTTTATCCTGCCCTCAGTGGTCATACAGCAAAGTAAGTTAAGGGGAAAAAAGTAAAATAAATGACCTTATGCTATGAAGAACGAACATACTGGCTAACATACAGTCAGAGCCGTACCTTAACTAACATAGCTAGAGCTGGGCACTTCTAGGAAGGGATGCCTAGAGAAGAAAAAAAAAAAATACAGTGATACAGAGGGCAAAAGCAAAAGCTTTTGAACTTCACCAGGAAACAAAGTGAAGTTCTGTGTTTTCATGGGTTAGGGGTCTTACTAGTATTATCAAAAAGTCATATCCCCTCCCCACCTCCACTTCATTTTTCACACCATGTCCCAAACATGTCCATTCTGGAAAATACTTGAATTGCTTTAATTATACAGAATTGTATCACACTGATATGCAAGTGTTTACCTTTAATTTGCTGTTGCTTTCTTGTACAATATTTAAAAATAGACTAATATTCTAAAAGAAGAAAGATGAATCATATGGCAAGACTAAAAGGAAGGACGGAATAGGACTCAGTCCGACTAGGGGTACAGCTGCTCTACAAATATTTGGCTGAATAGCTGTTAAATATTCTGACAGAGATATTGGACCAGAGTCGTGGACAGCAGTTAAGCTGCTATTTGTTTTGACAATTCCAGCAGTACAAGCTTTGGTACAGCAGCTTTAAGGAGGGATCTCAAACATTTTTAACTTAAGAAAAACAAAGCAAAAGCAACCCCAAGAATTTGAAACAAACAACAGCCAATAATTACTTTTTCAATGCATCGGCTAATCATAAGAAAACAAAATTAATGCAGTGTCAGAATATGAGAAAATACATTGGATTATCTTCAGAAAACAACCAGTAGAAAAAAGGGTGGAAATACTTTAAAAAGGATGGAATAGAGAGAGAAATTACTACAGAGGAAATCCTTTCAATAAACAGATGTTCCCTGCTTATTTTTTGAACTCAAATGACTGAGTCAATGGTACTAAAAATAGAACGTATCGGTATCCTAACCATTATGGCATACCGTAGTACATTTTATAATGGGCCTGCCCTAGCATCTATTGAACAGCTGCTAGGTTTTTTTTAGTTATGCTAGTTTAAGACTTGTTCAAATCATCATCTGATGTGCAGAACATCATCGAGAGAAGTTGGGGACCTCAGCATCTTGAAATTGTTCTGAGACCCTAATTCTCTCAGGCTGTTCTGAGCTTTTCAGCTGAAGTATTTAGCTTACAAAAACTAACAGAAATCTTCACAGCTAACTGCAAGCTTGTTTTCCACAAAAAGAACACCAAAAAACTTTCCCCACAGCTTCCAGTCAAATAAATGACTGCATCAAGTCAGTCTGTATTTCACTGTTGTCAAAGTAACAACCACAACAATAACAACAAAAAACACTTGGTAAAAACTGAATGTTTTTAGATTTCATAAACAGGGAAAGCAAATGACAGCAGCCATTTGCCTCCTAAAACTTTTTTGAGGATGTTTTCAGAAAGCCAAGAGGAAAGACAGAAACTCACATTTTCTTCCAAAAGAATCACTATTACCCTTACTGCGTGTTCTGCAGGAGATCAAATAAAATCACATTGGTTTCTAGCCTAAAAAACCTATGACTGAAAATTAGAAACATTGAAAATGTATGAAATGTCAAAGAAAACATTCTGAAGATCAAAACACTCTCATAAGTATCACCTCATCTGTCTGTATTTGCTCTTTTCTATTCTACATCTCCTTAACTAGACAACATAGTTCAGAAATATCTTTTTCTCCTTTTCTCGATTTATTATCAATATTTAATGAGTGCCTAGATCGTTATAAGGAATCACTGATATAATCAAAGACCTTCTTCATAATAAAGTTAGTGGCTTTTCTATATCACAAAACCCTGAAAATAACTAGGCTGATTCTTCACCAGATACAAAGAGCATCTCACCCCTGTAGTCACTATTTTACTGCTCCCTTCCCTGTCACTCGTAAAGAAAAAGAATTTATAATTCAAGCTGGTTGTGGAAAACATATTCCATTTAAGAATAAAAATATAAAAAATCAGAGACTGCAACTTGCTGCACCTGAAAATGAGTCAAGATTCTGGTCAAAAGAAAGCAAGAGAGGAGGAAAAACATACATGTGAATGTTATGGCCTTCCCTGCAAACTCAAAAGCACTAACCTGTGATGTGAAGGAGTCAGATCAGGGACTTCATCACAGCCACCTAAATTAAAGTATCTGTTGCATGATTTCTAAATGAGTAGCACTTCCTGATTTCCCACAGATCCCAAAGCTAATTTTGAAGGCCTATATTTAAAAGTGCACTAAAGGTAAACACCTGTCCCCTGATGACAAGATGAGCTCTCTGTACATACAGTTGATGGGTTTTTAACCAAGGGCTTGGTTCATGTGTATGGAATAGTTTGACTTTCATGTTTGTTTCATCAGGTTCATACATTCGCTTTGCTTGTTGCTGAAAACTGTCATTGTAACAGAGAGCATCTGAGGGAGGGTCTCTGGGGAAATCACTTCCTCCTTTTGCTTTCCATCAGTTGGGCTGAGACAAAGTACCCTTCTGTGTCAGAGCCAGCTCTCCGACCATTCCCACAGCAAAACTAACAACACCACAGAAGAACAAGCTCCCTAAGCATGCTGCCCCGCCAATGCACCTTCATGCTGAAATGGCACGAGGGGCAGCTTTGTGTAAGGGCAGCAAGGCTAAGCTGCTCAGCCTTCCCTGTCCAGGTGAGCTCTTGTCTCTCTGCTGATAGCACCTATTAGTAGAAATGTGAGATAGGCTTCTAATGTGTGGTAGAGAGATCCACGCAAGCCATCTGATTTAGAAGGCTGAACTGTATTAAGACTGATTGTCTTCATACAAAAGGCTTCCTACTTATCAGTGATGTCCTGATGTGTTCAGTCCCCTGATACATGCTAATGTTGCACATTTGAGAATGAATCACACTTTCTGGAAAGCTTCACTTATTTAAACGTGTTCTGGCCTTCCGGAGATTCCGATAGCCCAGACCTCCCTCATGTAGATGAACGAGTGAAATCTCTCACACTTCGCTGTCTGACTGATGCAGTGCCCGGTACAATGAAGTGTAACACCCCAGTCTCTTCCTGTATGGTTGTTCCATTTAGCTTGTTTTCGGAGGTAGACTCAGCTGCAGTGACCATGAAATGGTTGAGTTCAGGATCCTGCATGGAGGAAGCAGGGCGATAAGCAGGATCAAAACCCTGGACCTTAGGAGGGCTGACTTTGCCCTCTTCAAGGAGCTACTGGGAGGAATCCCATGGGCCAGGGCTCTCGAAGGTAGGGGGGTCCATGAGTGCTGGTCACTCTTTAAACAACACTTCTTCCATGCACAGGAGCAATGCATCCCCCTGAGAAAGAAATCTTGCAAAGGAGGCAGGAGACCTGCATGGTTAAACAAGGAGCTTCTAGCAGAGATCAGGCAAAAGAGAAAGGTCCATGGAATGTGGAAAGAGGGGCAGGCCACTTGGGAAGAGTACAGAAACGTGGTGAGAGCATGCAGGGATGCGACGAGGAAGGCCAAGGCCCACCTGGAATTG